TCGGTTTCTCTACATTGCAACGGTCACATAAAAACTCCTCGGGAAATTAAAATGTTTCTAGCGGTTCATGTGTTAACCGCTAGAAATGTTCTGAATCTAGTGGTTTATTGGCCTGAACCACTAGAAAATAAACGCTACAATTTTGGCGCCAAGTTCCCGTCAAAACCCGGGAAATTTTCTAGCTCTGAGTTTCTAGCGGTTAGGTTATAACTGCTAGAAATATGCGGGCAATGGTCAAAGCATCGCTAATTTGCAGCGGTTTTTCTTAAAACCGTTAGAAATGTTGGAATTTCTAGCAGTTTTGGTTGAACCGTTAGAAATGTTCCGCTGCTAACTCAACATTTTCTTGTAGTGGTAGTCCCAAAGAAACATTATTATTATATTCAATAGATACTTTTGACATTTCCAAGATCACTAACAAAGTGTTTAGGATGCTTGATGAAGATGTAGATAAAGTGGGAGAGAAAAATGTGGTGCAAATAATAATTGAAAATGGTACAAATTATAATGTAGCTGGGCAAAAATTAATAGAGAAAAGGAAGCATTTGTATTGAACACCATGTGTAACCCATTGTATTGACTTAATGTTGGAGGGTTTTTGGAGGGGGGAATTATGTTGTATAAAGAAACCATTAGCAGGGGTAGAAGAATCACAACATACATTTATACAAGATCAATGCTCATTAGCCTTTTGAGAAAATACATAAATGGAAAGGACTTGGTTAGGCTTGCTAAAACTTGATTTGCCACTGCATATTTGACTTTGACATGTATTAATGAGCATAGAGTTACACTAATAAATTTGTTTAATTCTCAAGAGTAGAAGGATAGCAAATTTTCATCTACCGAGACTTCAAGATTAAGATTTACCACAGAGTAAATCACAATCTTCATTTATGACCCAATGCATGTTCACAATATCGCAATTATATCAAAGCAAGAATCATTATGACAAAGAACATATTTCTCACAATTCACAACATATGCATCAACTTCACTTCATAACATAAAACAAATATTATACTCATACTAGCCCACACATTCAATTCAACATACTTCCCCACTTCAATGAAGTTCATTTTATAAGGAAAAAATGCGTACCTTATTCAAAAGCATATCTATTACAATTTAGTTAAGTAGAAAAAGTTAAGAAAGCTTTTCAATCCACATTAGGCATATAAAATAAATTAACACTAGTTATCTCAACTCCAAATTTGAAGAGAAGTGTGGTCCATTTCATAAGCTTCAATTAGGGGTTTCTCTAAAAATTTTAATTCATTTTTTTTATTTTTGCCCTTAATTATTTATTCTCTCTCATTTATCATACCCTCTTGTCACATTTCCTCATTTTTCTTTTTTATCATTTTTCTCATTTATTATAAGGGTATATTTGAAAACAAAATTATATTTCTAACTTATTTATTGTTTTTAACTAATTTTAACTGCTTGTTCATTATCTGTGAATTAATTGTTTAAAATTTACAATAAGGATTGGAGGGAGTAGATGACAATCAAACTCAATTCAAACAATTCATCATAAGGTAATAAACAAAGCTCAAATCCTCACATCTCTCATCCTACAAAAACTCCCATAATCAAACCCTCAATCCCATGCCAAATTCCTCAATCTAAAGTTATAATCATTGTTTCCTCAACTCAAATAGGCCATTGAACCCATCAATCAACATCGATAACAACCATCCATAACAATCTCCAATTTTACACTTAGAATTTTCAACCTCCAACATACCCACTATTGAAGTCCAATCAATATCAACAACTTAAACTAATTAAAACCTCTATCTAACTCAAATAAACATAATCGATTCCTTAAACCACGTTTCAAATAATCATATTGCTAATTTTCACCAAAACCACTCTTCTAAGAACAAACCCTAACCCCAAATCACACAAATTTCAATGACAAAAAAACTAAACCAATTAAACATCTTATCTAAGTCAAATAGCTCATTTAAACCCAAAACATTCGGTCAAAACAATAACCATCTTGAAATCCGTCATGGACCCAAGAAACACTTACTTTGATGTCTAGAATCTCAAAAACACTCCAAGAGGTCAAAAATGTTGAGCTTTGGTAGAGCGAAGACCACCCACCATGAACCCCTCTTCAAAACTTATGTCTTACAGCTAAAAATTGTGATTGATATACCGGTTCTACAATGTTCGCCGCAACCAACAACACAACAGCATGGACTAAATTCAAAGATTCAGAATTAATTTCACAGATCTTCAAAAATTACAAACTAGAGCTCTTATGATAGCTTGAAATGTCCAGGTTTCATTGCAAAAAGAATCATTTGAAAGTGATATCATTTGCCCTTTGAAAATGATAATTTACTAAGAATGATTAAAACATTTATCGGTAACAAGGGGGCTAAGTTCAAAAATTCCTAATTAATTCCATACATTTCCAAATTTTGCAAATTAGGAGTGGTTGGAAAGATTGAAGAGTATGCTTTCAAATACGAAAAATAATCATTTTAAAATCCTAAAATCCCAAGACTGTTCTAAAAAGAAATGACTTCAAATTGTCATCCTTAGTACTTATAATCCTCGATTAACCTCAATCAATAATAGTAACCTTTAATTTCCACAACTTTAAAGCTTAAACACTTTAATCCTCAAAATTAAAAATCACAATGTTATATAATACACTTAACCTCCAAATGTTATGTATTCTACAATTTATGTGGATATAATCCCTTTTATAACTCTTGAAATAGAGTTTAATAGCTTGTGACATATAAATAGTGGATGAAAGATTCATCTCTCTCATTGCATCTTGTTGATTTTAATAGTTTTATGACATTGTTGATTTTTGTTCGTCACATGAAGATATTTTGATCCAAATGGCTTGGTAAGATTTTTTCTAATTTTTTTAGAGGGAATGATGGCCTTCCAATTTCTAAGACAGTATCTATTTTATGGATTCATGGGCAATTAAAGATTAATATTCATCATATTGAGCTATTAGAATTTACCTGTTGTTATTACTTTATGCTATTTTATCATTTAAAGTTCAAGCTTTATTCTTATATATGTTTTTACCAATCAATTGGATGTCTACTGAAAAAATAATTTCATTGGGAGGCCAACAGCCATAAATACTATCAATTTTTTTATTAGATTGCCAGAAGTGCTTGGTATGCTTTGGAAGATTTAAAGAAATTGATGATGTGCTATATTGAACATGATCACATCACATCAATGGAAATGATAATTGAAGGGCAATAATCTTTGGTCCTGGTTATACCTCTATGATCAGTAAAATTATGATCAAATGTTATAATATGATTTAAAATCATGTGAAAATTTTATGTACCAATCTATTAAGAGTAAATGTCAAAATTGATTATGAAGCCAAAAAGTCAATGAGATATTATGAAAAATACCAAAAATAATTATAATGCCCAAGGCAATAATTTATGAAGAACAATGCCCAAAGTAATTATTATAGTATGGTTAAACATCCCGGGGTGATTTAATATAAATAGAGTAGAGTGAAAAAGATAACACTTATCACTTAAAGGAAGAGTTAGAGAGAGTGCATGAAGTAATTTATCCTATTTCAGTCTACTACTTGATCTATGTCTAGATTCCAAAACACCTTTGAGATTTTCAACTATATTCCCCAAAATTTAGTGGATTCTTGGTGCCACAGTATATCAAACACCTTAACACCTGAGGCAACACCTCTACATCAAAGGCAATCTCTTCTCCTTGCAACTTGTAAGAGAATATCCATCTTATGATCTCATGATTCTAAGCAAAAAATGAAATTTAAAATCTCTCTCTTAAAACTCAACAAATCTTTTAAAGAATGTTTGCAATGAATGAGCACTAGAGAATATTCTTTCTATATCTCTTCTTTTTATTTCTACTCTCTTGTTTATCTCTTTTCTTCTCACTCGATCCATCTTCTTCTATGTGTAGTGCAACTCTCAAGTTATTCATTGGATAGAATTTTCCCGTTGAAGCTTGTGTCTAACATAGGTAAGGTATTAAATGAACTTCTCATTGAAGGTAGAGTCAAAAGTAGTAAGCCGCATTTGGTAAAAAAGTGCTTTTGAGCTTTAATCTTCTAATTGGTTCTCAAATATTTTCTTAATCTCTTATAGAGAGTGCTAAAATATATTCTAAAATATTTTTAAACTTAAGACACTCTTTAAAACATTTTTAAGGCTATTTTCAAATTCTAAAAAAAAATATTGTTTAAGCCTAAAATTTGGATTGCAATCAGGTCAAATTTGATCAAGAATGAACTTGCAACAAACTCAAGTTAAATTAGAAAATTTATATCATGGAAAGCAAAGTATGACTCAAATGGAAATACAGTCATTTTACTCAAAATATAGCAACTCGAGTATGTTTAAATGAACTAGAAACTTATAGTAATCAAATACTTAAAATTAGTGCAAAAATTTAAATATGACTCGAGCTAGTTTTAATTTTTATCACGCTTACATATTAAGAAATGAAGAACCTATGAATTGACTCAAGGCTAAAACGACTTCTAAAAAAATTAAAAAACCATTTTTATATCATATCATGTAATTTTTAATTAATAAATTCTCTGCAAAACAAAGTCTTTAAATTTATTGTGACTGATTGACACAAGCACAAGCAAATTATTATTTTTCATTATGCACAGCTCATTTCACCCATCTATGCCTAACCAATGCAAGAAGAAAAACAAAGCCTTTGAAGAGTTAAGCCATGTTTATGACGCAGTCAGAAAACCGTATTCATTGCAAAAAGCCAAAAAAAAAAAAAGTCTTTTGGTAGCATTAACAAAAAGGGAAGAGGAGGTTGAATCTAATTGAAAACTATAAATATTTTATACAATATTTTATTCAATATATCTTTATTTTCATTAATTTTAATGTAAAACCGTGAAAAACATTTCTAATCATGTTCTCATTCTCCTTCCATTTCCAAACTTCAAATTTCTTTATAGACAATGTCATAAATTAGGAAAGGAAATTAAAAGTACCATGTCATAAAATTATTTCTATAGAGACCAATGGACTACAATTCTAAATCTTTATGTATCGCCTCGCGTAATAATTCATCAACTATGTAGTGCATATAGTTTCAAATAATTAACTACAAGAGTCAGCACTAAAATTGGGGAGAAATCAAGTCAATGTACAAGAAGTCCAAAAGAAATTTTACAAAATTGAGAAAACTCCCTTTATATCTATAGATAATTATTGAACTACTAATCTTTTGAGATGATCCAAGAACACCTCAAAGCTAACATCATCCGTGAAAATAACATCCCCTCCAGGAACAGCAGCATCAGAATTGTAAGTAGCAGAAGGATTTAACTTTGCCAGGAGAAACCGAGCCTAAATAAATAGAATGCACACATCAACAATACACACCGCTTACAAACAAATGGCAACACAAAAAAGTAGAAACGGGAAAAAATGGATCCGAAAATAAAACTTTACTCCAGGTATTATATTCCTTCTACTTAATTGCCATTAATTGCTATATTTTAATATTTTTTATATTATTTAATTTTTTATTTTTTTTTCAAAATCAAGAACACAGATCTGATCGACAAAATTACTCTTCTTGTCCTACTTCTTATTCCGTTATGTAATTCTGCCCTATGGCAGGGTTTACTATTGGGGAAGTTCAAAAACCAGCCAGCACGGTTAAGGATTGGGGGAAGTTCCAAGATGCTGCCTTTAATAGCAAAGTATGTTGTCTAGAGGTCGATTCTTAGACAACCCTTCCCCTGCGGAAAGAACTTAAATCGGTTAAATTGTACAGTAATTTGCACTGAGAGCTTCTCCCTATTTTATAAAATCAAGTCTTCCCTTTCTGTACATGTGATGAGCATAAATGAGCATAAGACCAAGAAGAGAGCCCAATCTCAAAAAACTAGCCTATTGGGAAGGAGAGCCTCTTGAACTTATAAACCCCACAATACTTGTGAGATTTCTCAATGTGGGACTTATAACAGAACACCCCCCTCGAGAGCTGATGTCCCAAGCGGCTCCACTCTATGGCACTTCACTAGGTTTTCTTACCGATCAGAACCCTCCGTAGGTCGAATCTCAATGAAAGCATCAATGTGATGAGCATAAACCCAAGGGGAGAGTCCAAGCCCAAAAGACTAGCCTGTTGGAAGAGAGAATCCCTTGAACTTATAAACCCCACAATACTTGTGAGATTCCTCAATATGGGACTTATAACAGTACACTTTCCACAAGATGGAGTCTAGGAGTCTCAGCATCTCGTCAAGGACCATAGCAAGGTAGTCAATATAGACGCGGACAGGATAAACATGTTCTAGACAGAATGGCAAACAGCAAAAGGTGAAATATACCAAGTCATAACAAGGAGGACCGCTACAGCAAGAAGTAGAAACAACCAAAGCTTTTCCATATATGGAGTTTCAAATATTTCACATTAAACTAAGGGGAAGGAAAAGAAACTAACCTGAGAGCCATACTGATCACAAACAACCAGGCGAGGTACAGGAAATCTTTCCTTTATTATCAAATCTGCATCGTCATGAGGTGTTTGAAGTAACTGAGCAAATGCCTGCAAAATATAAAGACTATGCTTAATTAAATGGATTCAAATATATAGTATATATTACTAATGCATTTTCAGCCCATGAAAAGACCCAGAGCAAGTGTCCAAAAGTCAGTTTCAATTATCAAGCATTGATGGGTGCATGCCATTTGATGGAGTTACTTTTTGAGACATTAATTGGGCTATAAATTGGTAAATGAAGACTCTCTAATCAGTAGTCGCATTACGGCTCGGCCCGCATGTTTTGGCTCATACATGAACTATTAATTTCATGTTGGGATCAGGGCATTAGATTTGTTACATTTTAATCTTAATGCTCAGCGAATAGCACTGTCGCCTAAATCCTATTGGGAATTGCAAAGATGCCTTAATGATCTGCTTTAAAATATCTAGCAATCTACTCATGAATTTTCATGGCAAGAGTGTGCTATTGATTAATACTATATACCAATATACCAACTATCACAAGCCAACAACACATCTGTGACGATCTCAAACTAGACCAAGTTGCCTGTCATGCCAAATAGATTAAAATTAAATTATGAGTATAGCAATTATCAATCCAAAATAATACTTTCAATCTGGGGGAAAAGCTATAATACAGGCCAACAAAACAATCCAAAATAATGCTTTAATGCTTTTTCTTTTTTTTTTTTGGGGGGGGGGGGTTTGGAATTAATACAGGGCAACAAAAAAGGTGAGTTAGAATTCTTCGAAAACACCATTAGAAAAATCCAGAGACTACTTCACACAACATGATATTTTCATTTATTATTACTTATTTTATTTTTATTTAGTTTGATCATACATAGTGTTTCTTGCTGTGTGAAATAGCAGTGATGCATATAGGAAACAATTAAGAAACTGTATCTAGACAAATCATATACTAATCTAGCTTTAAAATAGATAGGATCAGATCCTAATCTCTTAAAACAAATATATATTAAATATAATAGAATCAAAGATTAATTAAATAAAGCACACTCGACTGGTTTATTAGGCTGATGCCCCTCTAAAATATAGTTTGACTATTTATTTTCTGTTATAATAGGATAGTTATATTTATAATCTTTCGAAAGTTCATTCAAACCACTCAAATAGGATTGGCTTGGATTTATCCTCTATGTTTCAGCCGTTTATCTTCCTTGGTTGATATAGAATTTATCACTCAGTAGCTAGAGAATTTGAGTCTCTCTTTTATGTTCTACAAATGTGCTTCTATGCCATTCAATAAAATTAGTTCAGACAAAATTGACCCCTGAATTTCTACATGGTTATTAGAGCCTTGTCGGAAAGGAGTTAAAATATGGGACAACTACGGCCACCTCCATCAAAGGACGAAGCCTCTCAAGAAACAGTAGTGCAAACCAACAAAACAAAAGCCTTGCACGGAGAACGAGACTAAAAATGTTGCATATACAAGAAAAACTGAAATTGCTACACAGATCAGCAGAAATGTCTCTCTAAGGGGTTGTCTGATATGTAGAATGAAATGGAATTAAATGAAAAATAATTTTGCAAATAAAATATGCCCCTCGGGATGTTGAATAAGACAATAGAAAGAAATAATAATAATTAGAGTAGAGTAATGATAACATGGACATAATATGTCCCATATCAGTTTTTGAGCAAGAAAAGGAAATCCCTTTCCCTTATCCACACCAATCACTACATGATCTTTGCTTAGCTTGAAAGGCAGTGCAGAAAAATGCCATCAGAAAATGTTCAACTGTGTTTCACAACATGTGATATTCCCATCCATTATTATATTTATATTCAATATCAACATAAAATTTAAAATCTACAGCAGGCTATAATATTCACAGTGAACAGTATAGCTCATTCATTTAAGTCTGTGAAACACAACGGAGCCACACCTAGTAATTATCATTTCTTTTCATGTGGCTTACCCATTTTTCTTATTTTCCTGTGATGATAGAACGGTATTATATTATGATTTTTCTTCTTTTGAGGAAGTGGAAGACATAGGCAGTGATTGTAACTAGCGGGAAGCCAGACAGTAACATTGTTCAAGTCAAAAAAGGTGGTTGAATGAGGTAGGAACGGATTTGCTGAGCAAGCTGGAAAAGAGTTGAAGAAAGTAGAACCCATTGAAGCAGGAAGATGTGCTTCACAAAAACCAAAGTAGAAGAACGTTTTAAGATTTTCAGAAAGAAAGTCCTCCCGTGGAGGCTAAAATAATGTGCTATTAAAATGCTGCACTATATGTGGTTGAGAAAAGCACAGAAAAATGCAATCAGAAAATGTTCAATTGTTCTTCAGAACATGTGATATTTCCATTTAATAATGTATTAATAATAATCAATATTAATATAAATGCAAAATTCAAAATTTAAAACAAGCCATACCAGTGCTACTCATTCTTCACATTACGCATAATGCAAGAGAGGAGCACCTAGTAATTTATTATTCCTTTCACATAGTTTGATCTAATTCACTTTTCTCACTTATTTTTCTGTTAGGATAGGAAAATGTAATATTTTGAAAGTCTGTGTTGTCTGTTTAGAGAGGATTGGCTTGGATGCATGTCTTAAGCAATTCATTTTCCTTTGTTTAAATAGGGTTTCGGAAGAATGACACATAAGAACCATGGAAGGAAATTAATAATTTAAAGGACTGATATGTAAATATAATAAAAGCAGGTAGTTAGTGTTGGTTAATACTACTTCCGGTCCTTAATATAAGACCCTGTTTGACTTTTATTTTGATCCTAAATATAAGACCCCAATTCACTTTGTCTGTCATATTTATATATTTTTTTCCAAAGTAACCCCTCTAACAATGATAGTTCTAGTCAATACACTTGATTAGCAAAGATATTCTAGGAAAGACAACACCTATTTAGGACAAATAACTAACTCAACTTACTTCCTTAATCTCTTCAAATTAGTCAACTGGCTCTTATAATTAGGACCGGAGGTAGTAAGTCCTTAAGCCTATAAATAAGGGGACTGGTTAAGTTGTAATTAGACTTGTGAATGGCTTAAGTGAATGGAATAAGTCTTCCCTTCCCTCTCTCTCATCTCCCTTTCTGTCTCTCCTAATTCTCTCATTCTCTTTCTACCTCTTGCTCTCTCAAACAGAATAATAATTCTGTAACAGTGGCATCAAAGCCGACCATCCTTGGCCCTCCCACTGCGATTCCCATGTCAATGGTCATTACTCACTTATAGAAATGGCAGTGAGGCGTGGATGAATGAGTTCGGCTGTAGCACCTTCAACTCCAAGGAGCTATAGCAGACTTCAGTAATACATTTGACTCCCTCTCTGCCACACTTGATTTACCAAAATATTATCTTGTTGTTTAGACCAAGAACCATGTGTGAAGCCCAATCATTGGCAAGAATGCAAGAGATATTCTTGCAGGGCAAACCGAACAAAAAAGGGAGGTCTTGAAAAATCAAGAAGACAACCTGGCTACTCAAGAAAAAATTGGGTCTTGTTTGACCACCACCCAAGAGGAATGCGACAGTGATTTCAAGGTTATGTCTAAGGCAGAATGCAAAGAAGTAGGTGCAAGCATGTGCAAGGAAGCTTCCTTTCCCTTTGATTCTTCTGAAGTTGGTAATGGAGGACTCATGAAGGCTACCTAGTGCATCATCAAATAGGGGCAAGAAAATGCTGAGAAGACCCAAGAAGCTACAAGCATCAAAGATGTTCACAAGGCACATAGACCAAAGGTTCCTTTGGCTATACCTCCAGAGTCTCGAATGCGTTAAAGCATAGAAAGGTTGCGAAGATGACTTTGAGCGGAGTTAAGGTCACGATGCGTGGGCTTCGCTCGCGGTTGTTAAGGACTCAAGGCTCGGTTTCTTCAATTGACCCTGTTCTACCTAGGAATAGTACGAAAATTACACTAGGGGTTAGTGACTTTTCAAACTTCGACTTCCTTCAAAATTTTCAAGGTGGGGTCGCGCAGTATATCTTCAAGCTTGGTGCCATCCCCAACTGCTTCTACTTTCTTGACACCAGCAGTAATTGTCCACTCCATGCGGCTAAGTCCTCTTTCTTCATCATTCTCCGTGTTTCAATTCATTAACCAAAGATTTTGCAAGGATACATGCGTGTTTCAAGAAGTGTTGAACTGGTTATGTGGCATGCTAAAATACAATTTGAAAAGTCAAATCTCCCTTCATAGTTGGCAAGAATTTTCTTTTCGCGGCAGAATTCCTTTGGCAAAACCAAATGGGTATATGGGCTTTGGAAGTTGCAGTAAAGACAAGAGCCCAATAACATTGCAATTAGGTCTCGTAAATTCAGTGGTTATTCATTGGGCAAACTGCTGCAAGGATGGGTCCAATTCTTCATTGTTTGCCCGCAAGAATACCAGTTCAAGAATGGTTTAAGGGGGAATTAATCAAAATGCTCCAAGGCTCTGGTCTGGCATGAATTTCTGCACTTGACCATTGAGAGCAAGAGTCTTGTGGGGGAGTGTTAGAAATCTCAGCCCTAATATCTCTCTGCTAACTGTTGCAAAATCTCTCCTATTTATGGTTCCTAATATCACGGACAGATCTTGGAGGATATGATTCCTCCCTGTATTTATTAGCCTTAAATATTTTTTATTACCCCTGATTGTAAACGATAGCACTCAGTAGCCTATTTAACTACTGGGTTTCTTATCAGTAATACAATGAATCATTCAGAATCTTCTCTCCCAACCTTCAATTCTATTATATTCAACAGGAAGGGGTATTGATATGTAAATATAATAAAAAGCAAGGAGTTAGTGTTATTTAATAAGTCCTCAAGCCTATAAATAAGGGGACTGGTTAAGTACTAATCAGACATGCGAATGGCTTAAATGAATGGAATAAGTTTTCCCTTGTCTCTCTCGTCTCCCTCTCTATCTCCCCTAATTCTCCCATTCTCCTTCTTTCTGCCTCTTTCTCTCTCATACAGAATAATAATTCTGTAACAAGGACCAAGAATCTTTAAAATTTCATTGAAAGACGAGTGTTTTTAAGAAAGTAAAGGACCAAAAAAGTCCTTGCGTAGTTGACCCATAGCTCAGCTGCAAATAGTAGAAGATTATTTTCAATTCATGGAAGCTCAGCTGCAAATCTTGGAAGATAAATTGCAAATGAGTTATAAATTATGGAAGCTCAATTGCAAATATCAGAAGCTGGGTTATAAATGAATGGAAGAAGATAGTCGCTAATGAGTTATAAATTGTAAATCAGATCTAAACACTTGAAGAATTTAATCAGTTGATCTTCCAGCTTTCAAAATTGAGTCTTTTGTTTTTATAATAAAGCTTTTGGGATTCAAATGATTTACAAAGCTTTCTTGCAATCAAACTTCTACAGTTTGCAATTGAGCAATGAGTCAATCGCACAAGGGCATTTGTCTATTTACTTCTTTTTTAAGACCAAGGTCCTCTTTGTAATTTTAAAAATTCATGGTCATTTATAATAATTAATCTCCTTCCATGGTCCCTTTGTGTCATTCTCCCTAGGATTCATCACTCGGTTACTTGAGAGTCTCCATCATCTATTAATATATATCAGTTCTATTCAATAAAATAAGTTCAAAGAAAAACTCTAAATCCTGAATTTCAATAAAAACTACACAAATATGTATAGTTTTTATTGAAATTCAGCTTAGGGCTTTTATTAAAAGGATTGGTCTTTCAGCTTATGCTTCCTTGATGTGTAGGGTCTACTTTGGGTGCTTATCATGGTCATGAGATCTGGAATTTAATCTAGATTGTTCAGAATTGTGATGTGTATTGATGAGCATCATGACGTGTAATTTCTGTGTTAGTAGGACTATCTTATTCCAACACAGTAAGCCCAGAATGTAAGAAAATGAAATACACATGATCAAGTTAAACATGTCCAAGAATACCTGATGTTCAGGTTGATGATGATATCCACCTTTTCGCCATTGAGCAATGGTTGAACCATGGAAAATAACAACAGTAAAGAAAGAATCCAAAAGCAGGATCCTGTCTGCTGCAATGGCGGCAACATCAAGAAGAGCAGGTTCTGGACCTGATTGGAATGAATATGAAATCAAAGAAGGCTGAACCATCACAATAGAATTGGCAACATTCTCACGATTCAGTATCATTCGGAAATATGCAGTTTCATCAGGGCTATTGTTGAAAACCTGTAACATATATGAAAAAGGAAAATGAAAATATTAAACACAATTGAAACACAGTATATAATTGAAGCCAACATCAGCAAAAACAAAAATGAATACCTGAACAAACTGAGAGCGCCGCAAGTGAAACAAAAACTGGGGGAATATTGCCAACCTGGGAGACAAACTGAAAGATGATAAAGAGTCTTTCTGGTAATCACCAAACCGGGAACATAAATTTATCAATGCTTTATCCAGCCATCTGATAGGATCAAATTCAGCCTGAATACAAATTACCATAATGTCAAAAGTTGGAAAAAATGCAAAATCTATAGAATTCACATAAAAAGATCATTTTAATGTGCAGGGAAAGAGCCCAAAGAAAATTTGCACAACCGTGGATAAGCAAGAACACTCAGTGTCCTCTGATTGCTGATGTCAAAACTTCAGCCCCAAGAGCTTTCATGAAAAGGAGCATATCAAAGAGCATAATAAAACTATGGATCTTCACTTAAAAGATTAAGCTTTGAGCCAAGCACACAAATGGCCCAAGTTTATAGATCAGAAATAGCTCCTGAAACGGTAATGGTAGATTTGAAGAGCTAAGCAGGTAGTGGATTGTATTTTGCAATTACAAATGACAATGGTAATTGTTGGAGAATCTCGATGCATTAAATGCTATCATAATCTGATTTTGATTCTAAGATTAATGTCTGATCCTATGTCTAATGATTTGATATGTTATGTTTCTGTTTATTTTTATTTAATAACTGGCCATGATTTAAGGGATTGAGCCACAGGCTTGTGGTGTGCCTCACTCTAGACAAGTCAATACAGAGATGACGAATGAGCAAAAAGGAAAGGAATGATATTAAGAATCAATTGAGCTAAATCAATTGAAACTGCTGTATTCCTCTCATGTTTGCAAAACTTGTATCCCATTTGTTAAATGGTCCTAATGAATAATCTGAGTTCATAACTACCTTCGACCTTAATATAAGAGCTTGATAACTAATTTGAAAATATTAAGAAAATTAGTTAAGCTAGTTATTTGTCATAAATGTGTGTTGGACTCCCTAAATAATCTATTTAATCACATGCATTCAAATACCTCTTGATGGAACCCTTACAATCTATAGGGATATTTTGGAAAAAATGGGAGACAAAGTGGATTGAGGTCTTATATTTAGGACCAACCCCCAACTAGCTCTTATATTAAGAACCAAAGGTAGTATTACTTAGTTGTTCACTTTATACATACATAGGGATTTCAATATCTCAAGATAATCTAGGAAAAAACCTAAATGATAAAAAAAAATTGATAAATCTAATCTAATACATTCAAATAATAAATTATTAAACTAAATAACTACTGGGCCCTCTATATGGGCTTTAGATTCCTACTTCTAACAGGTGCCATAAATGTACGTGCTGCAATTGGGGTCTATGCCTGCCCACAAGTTAGGAAATAATTGTTGAAACTTGGAACCAACGTCTAAAGAGCAAAAACTCAATTCTGAATAATGAATGTTAAAAAAGAAAATAAAGATTGTCACAATTGGTCAAGTGAAGCTCAGAACACTATGCCTAATGTTTCATTTACATTTGCGCTTTATAGTCCAATCACACAGTTGGTCCTTATTACTTGGACTTTCAACTCCACTCCACCAATGAAAAAGTGAGTGCATACTCAACGGCAATCAGTTCACTCAGATAGAAATCACGTGCTATACTCACACAGAGATAAATGATCCATAAGAGAAACGTATCAGAAAAACAACCAAAATTCAAGGTGCAAACTTCAGTGCTCACCTCTGTTTCCATTTTGAAAGAGACTTGGCGTGCCATAACAATTACAGCTGCTTCTTGGTCGAACCCAGCAATCAATTCCTAAACATTATAAACAAAGATGTTATGGCAACTTTCAAGAACGTTTTCGTTGCTAACTTCTGTTGTTAAAAATCTTACTACCAATTAGCAACAAATTGTTTCCTTCACTAAGAATTTTGCAACAGAATTTTTCCATCACTAAAATTAGTGACTGAAAGAGAATTATCGATGGAATTGAATTTGGTTGCTAATTCCGTGATCATAACCTGTTCTTTTTTTTTTTTTTTCTTTTGTAATGGTAAAACTGGATTAAAATTTTCTTCTAGATTTGTGTCTAGTCCTATATTGATAAGTTTATGAATACTTCTGTGTGGTTTTGTCTTGTGTTTTTCTACCTAATCATGTGATATGTGGATAACATCTGATAAGATATAACTGTAGTTAAATTATGGCTTATAGTGTTTCATTTAAAAATTACTTATTTGATTGACTACATTAATTTGTCATTTTGTTTTTTGGATGTGGATAACAAGTTTTATGTTTTTTTTTTTTTCAAATGATTTTTTGAAATAATTATCCAAACAACTTTTTTGGTTTTTTTTCCCCAAAACTTGTTCTACAAAGCAATTTTATAAAATTTTTCGAAGAACCAAAAAGAAAAAAAGCCCTAATTTTTTTTTTCTTTTTGCCTTAGTTCCGGTTGTAAAAGACTAAGTTTATCAGAGCTATGAAAAGCCAGAAATTATCAGTATCTAATACATATTAAAATCAGAGTTCAGCAAGTGGGGGAACGGGTTGGGGAGGAAAGGTGAGAAAAAATTACACTGCCTAATTCCTGGGACTAAATGAAAAACTGTTATAACTAAGCATGTTCAACAGAATTTCTGTCATCAATAGAAATCAAAGGAAATAGACATAATAAATCAAAGGATTGCAGCAGTAAATCTTGCCTGTATGCTTCCTGCACCAGCAACCCATCTCCTGGAAAGGGTTGTAACTCGAAATCTCATTTGCCCAGTGGTATTCTGATAACTGAATCAAAATATCTGTATTGAGTGAGAAATATTTCATCTATGCAATCATAACTGAAGATAGATTACACAGAAGGGTTCTCTGGGATGGAGTTCATACTAGGTCATGAATTGGAAGTAAAATTGATTGCTTGTAGACTGAACTGTAGCATCAAGACTTTCCTTCCTCACAATGTTGAAAAACAGACACAACGATGTTGATTTATCAAGGCCACACATCTTCCATGCATTAGTACCACCCTGACCAACAACAACATCTGAGCACAATGGACTTTTCTGCATACACAAACATGTAATTAACTGAATTAACTGATTGATCATGTAAACAATTCGTATCAAGGAATGAAGGTTCAAGATATACCTTTTCAAGAGATGCACAAGGACCGATAAGACCTTCAACTTTAATATCCTTAGAGCAGTTTAGCTCAAATATTCCACTGCAATACAAAGATAAAATAAGGGAGGAACTTCAAAGGGGGAAACAGGATGATCAGCCCCACAAACATTAAGTTAGAATTAGATACTAACATCATTAGATTCAGCTTCAGGGAAAGACATGTTGTCATCGAAAAAGCATTCCCATTTAATAATCAATCATGATTTTTAAGAAGAAACAGATATGAAATCAAAGTTTAACTTCATGATATCAGACATTCAACTGGCAAAAGAATATCCCATCATTTTTCTATGTACAATTAATGGAATTAAAGCAGAGATGTTATAACAAATCATTTCAAAATAAATAGGGCACTTAGTCATGCACATGGATACAAAATCAACCTTTAGTAGTTACTTGTAAATATCTTAACATTATGCTCCTAACTTTCGACAGCTCTCCTATGTTGGTATGAACCCTTACCTTTAGTAATAAGTCGCCGATCTATTCATTTATACTAGGGCACATTTGGTTCACAAAATGGAATTAAGTACAACAGGAAGTAGAGTGAAAAAAGTAATTTTGTAAATGACAGATATCTTTTATATCCTTGAATTATGTTTGAATCAAAAAACTAACAAGAGACAATGACGGTTAAGTAATGAGAAATGCCTTTAGAAGTGATATTATATGAGCCTCCTAGGCATCATAACATTATGCTTCTAACTTCTGACAACTGTCCTATGTTGGCATGAACCCCTACCTTTAGTAATAAGTCATCCATCTATTCATTTATGGAAGGGCCCATTTGGTTCAAAAAATGGAATTAAGTAAAACAGGAAGTAGAATGAAAAAAGTAATTTTGTACATGACAGATATCTTTTATATCCTTGAATTAATTTTGAATAAAACCCAAAAAAAAAAAAAAAAACTAAAAAGAACCGACAATCACTACCAAGTAACAACAAATGCCTTTAGAAGTACCATTATATGAGCCTCCTAGACTAGACAATTGTTAATTTTTAAATGTGTCAAAAGAGTTTAGAAGGGAGTACTAAAAAGCTATATAGGTGGATCTCTCTGAATTGGATTTGAAGTTTAACTTTATTTAGAATTTCAACCTTCTATTTTCTACAGAGTATAAGAGTTCACGAGATTTTGGGAGTGTTAGTCATCCTTTGCCATTACTTTCAAGAATTTCTCTCGCAGCTAATCTCCATGTTCTGAGGATAATAAATAAGAAGACAGAGAGGGACTGCCACACCAAGAAGAATGTGTGTGCCGCCTTTCATATTCACCATATTTCTATTATTAGTATCAAGAAGTTTATGATAATGAATAACTTTAATTATGAGCTAATGCATGAATCAACAAGGATGACTATCTAACAAGAAATTCGATAATATATGGAAGTTACTACAAACATAGAAGAGACATTGTCTGAAACTTATGCTATCTAAAATATAAGCAATACAGTCCAAATGGAAGGTTTTGGAAAAGTTCCCTTTCCTACTATTATTAAAAAATTTACTCACATCCTCCTCAAAACTGGAAGATCCCCAAAGTCAATCATGAGTCATATTGATATCTAATGAGATTTATTAGAAAGCGTTTCCTTAATTTTTCATCATTACATGTCAAATTTCAACACAGCAAAGACACACACACACACATGTATATATGTGTACATATATATATAACAGAGACCTACTTGGAATGTCTGAAAGCATATAAAAAATCATGAAGGTTATACTAAACGAAATTCATCAGTATCTATGCACGAACCAACGAGTCTGAATTTTCCAATTCATAAAAAAACAAAACAAAGTATGTTCATATAAAATGAGAAACATAAGGACATACTTTGATGATAGCCCTAAATCAAAGTCACCAGATTGAAAAACATGTTTAAGTGAGTCCTTGAACACCAAATGGCCAAAACTTTCAGCTAGGACAACAAGACCTCCAGTCCTTTCAACTGCTATTTTGAGTTCAGCAATGCCCACCTGGTTAAGCAAGTAGATGAAAAAAAGAACATTACTTCAAAATAAATAGATTTAAAAGAAAGATTTTTATCCAAAAAGTAAAAGCTGAAACTAAGGGCAATTTGGCTTTGAACATATTTGAAATCAAGCAGGGCCAACACAGTGGATTGGGCCAGTATTGATAGCTATAATAAAAACACCATTCTTCAATAAGAAAATACAATATCCTAAGAAAACCCATTTTACATCTTTTGGGGTCTATTTTCTCACGTATGGTTACTCAGCATAAGCAAAGCATGTGAATCCAAATACTTAGACTGTAACAAAAATATTCCCAAAACATTTACAATGAACCAAACATGGGAATGTCTAGTTACTCCCCCCACCCAAAAAAAACCCCAGGCACCTGGGAGGGAATAAAAGGCTGTGGGAAAACCATATGGGAAGAGACACTTAGATCCTTTTGTTATACAATTGCACCAAAATCCCACAACCTAAAGGAGGATCAGAGAAAAACCTAAAAGTTTAATATCCTACACCAATCTGGCAAGCCAATTGGCATATTCATCGGCTTCCCTATAAACATGATAAAAAACAACATTCTAGTTGCTTGCTGCATAACTCCAAGTATCCTCGATCAGGTACTTCAATAAATGCATTAGTGTCTTGTCTCTACTAATTAGATTGATAGCTTCGACCAAATCACTAGCCACAACCACTTCAACAAATGCATTAGTCTTTTCATAAACCCTTTAATGATATTTCCTTGTGAGTCATGAATTAGGCCACCACAAGAAGCTTATCCTTGTAAATTAACTGACCCATCAACGTCCACACAAAACCAACCAGAGTCTGGAGGAGACCAAACGTCTTTTTGGATGATCTTCATCTCCCTCTTTCCTCTCCAATGCATTCCTCTATCACACTCTGTACACATAATAAAACCAATTATTCTGCTTACATAGTGTAATTTCTATGTGGTAACAGCTCTTACATTTCGTTGGGAATAGAGTGTTACATATATAGGGAAAAAGAGAGAATAAAATCAGATCTCATTCTACTCCTAGAATCTCAGATAATAAGTACAGATTACAAGAGAAAATAAGTCCCATGATTTTAGGAATAGTAATCTCACACACAAAAGGAAAACTAGGTCACATGATAATAGGCCCATGAAATTGACGGAAAGCCCAAATTTCCTCCAACACTCCCCCTCAAGCTGATGAATAGATATTGATCATTCCCAGCTTGTCTACAAAGCCTTCAAATTTCTCTTGAGTGAGACTTAGTCATCATGTCAGCTGTCTGTTGTCCTGAAGGAATATAAGATAAATCAATCACCTTTGATTCCAGTTTCTCTTTGATAAAGTGGCGATCAATCTCCACATGTTTGGTGCGGTCATGATGGATAGGATTATTTGCTATCTTAATGGCTAACATGTTGTCACACCATACTTTGATTGGTTCATTATCATAGATTCTGAGCTCCTTTAATAACCTAAGCAGCCACATTCCCTCACAAATTCCAAGTGCCAATGCTCTATATTCAGATTCAGCTGAACTTCGGGACACCACTGGTTGTTTTTTGCTTCTCCAGGATACTAGATTTCCCCATAAATAAGAGCAATACCTTGTCGTAGATCTTTAGTTTGTCTTAGATCCTCCCCAATCAGCATCAGTAAACATCTCAATACCTCTAGTATTTTTCTTTACAAAGTACAACCCTTGTCCTAGTGTCCTTTTTAAATACCTGAGAATTCTAAAAACAGCAGTCATGTGTTCCTTTTGAGGATTGCTTGAAAATTGGCTAACTACACTAACCGGGTAGCATATATCAGGTCTAGTATGAGACAAATAAATCAATTTTCCTACTAGTTTCTGATATCTTTCTCTGTTAACTGCTGTACCATCAGGTCTTATGGTCAATTTCTGATTAAGTTCCATTAGAGTGTTTGCTGGTTTTACCCCCAACATTCCTGTCTCATTTAGAAGGTCTATAGTGTACTTTCTTTGTGACACACTGATCCCTTAGTGTGTGTGAGCTACTTCCATCCCTAGAAAATACCTTAGAGGTCCAAGATCCTTGATCTCAAATTCAGTGGCTAACTTCCCTTTCAACCTAGCAATCTCACTTGAGTCATTTCCTATTAGCACTATATCATCAACATATATAATAAGATTAGTTATCTTATCACCATAGCGCTTAACAAATAAAGCATGGTCAGCTTGGCTTTGGCTATAACCCCATTTCTTAATAGCTTTAGTGAAACGTTCAAACCAAGCCCTAGGAGATTGTTTTAGGCCATATAAGGATTTGTAGAGCCTGCATACTTTGTGAGAGTTTTCTAATGTTCTCAACCCCAAAGGAACTTCCATGTACACTTCCTCTTCAAGGTCACCATTTAAAAAAGGCATTTTTGACATCTAACTGGTGCAATGGCCAATCTAGATTTGCAGCAAGAGAAAGTAGGACCTTTATAGTGTTGAGTTTTGCTACTGGGGCAAATGTCTCCTAGTAATCAACACTATAAGTTTGAGTAAACCCTCTAACCACTAACCAGGCTTTATACTTGTTCACACTACCATCAGGATTATATTTGATGGTGAAAACCCACTTACTGCTCACCACAGTCTTGCCTTTAGGTAAATCAACAATTTTCCAGGTTTTGTTTTTGTGCAGAGCCCGTAGTTCTTCTTCTACGACTGCTTTCCATTTAGGATGAGAAATAGCTTCTTTAAAATTCTTTGGAATAGATTCTTTTTTCACATTCACCACAAATGTTTTCAACTTGGGAGATAGTTTCTGATAGGAGACATACCTAGCAATTGGGTGCTGAGTGCAACTCCTCATTCCCTTCCTCAAGGCAATAGGCCAATGTAAGTCTTCAAGACTTGCCTCAGGTACAAATTAATGGCTTTGCATTGGTGTTTGAGTGGGCTCTTCACCATTAAGCTGCTGTTTAGATGACACCCTAGACTCTTCCTACCTAGTCTCGAATGGGTCAGGTGTGGCAAGGGATTCAAAGGGATTTGTATGCTAAAAGTCAGATTTGGAAGAGGGACTGGGCAAGGAATTTTGTGAGTTTCCAAGACTATTTTCTGCAGTGTTTCAGGTGGAATACTGAGGAGGGACATTTGGTGTGTGAGGAACAAGGGGTAAGAGTGGAACCGCAGCGGAATTGGGTGATGTGAGGGGTTCATAAGCTTGCTGTCCAGAACCAGAAAAATCAGAAAAATTATATTGATGATCATCTTGGTGTCACAAATAAGCCATTCACTCACACCTCTCTCCCCCTGAATGGTTGATTTGTTGAAAAAAGGTAGTTCTTCAATAAATTTCACATTCATACTGACATAGACTTTGTTATTGTCAGGACAAAAACACTTGTAGCCTTTTTTATGTGAGGGTACCCTAGAAAAATGGTTTTAATAGCTTTATGTTCTAATTTTCCACAATTATCATTTAAAACATAAGCTGTGCACCCAAAGATTTTTTGAGGAATTGTAGTAATAAGAGGTGAATCTAGATAAGTTTCCTGAAGTTTCTGAAGAGGAGTGAGGAATTTTAAAACTTTTGATGGCATTCGATTTATGAGGTATGCAGAAGTTAAAATAGCATCCCCCCAAAATCTGTTTGGCACATTACTTTCAAACATAATTGCTCTTGCGAACTCAAGAAGATGCCTATTTTTTCTTTCAGACACACCATTTTGCTGTGGTGTACGGACACAAGAAGTTTGGTGATGAATTCCATTGTTTTCCAAGTATGTTTGAAATGATATATTTAAATATTCCTTTCCATTGTCACTCTGAAGAACCTTTATTGAACTTTGAAATTGATTTTGAATAAGTTTATGAAATTTTTGAAAAATCCCAAAAACCTTGGATTTTTGCCTCATGAGATAAACCCATGTTAATCAAGTATGATCATCAATAAATGTTACAAACCATTTGGCCTTAGAATTTGTTTAAAACTTTGATGGACCCCAAACATCACTATGTATGAGAGCAAACGATTGAGTGGGTTTATAAGGATGAGGAGAATAGGCATTTCGAACTTGTTTTGCAAATTGGCAAGTTTCACAATGAAAATCAGAGATTGTTTTATTATCAATGCTTGGAAACAAGAATTGCATGTAGCGTAGATTAGGGTGGCCTAACCTAGAGTGCCATAACATAATATCTTTATTCCCAAAAGTAGGAAGAACAGCTTGAGCTTGAGCCTTATTCGGTGGTGATTCGCAAAGGTAGTAGAGCCCATTCCACACCTTTGCATTACCAATCATCTTCCCCAAAGTCAAATCCTGAAAATTACAGCAATGTTTGTCAAAAATAACAAGGCAATTGATCTGAACAGCAACCTTTCTTACAGATAGCAGATTGCACTTAATTTCAGGGACATATAGAACATCTTTTAAAACAATCTCATCAGATATATTAATAGTTCCAGATCCCATTACTGTAGCATATTGTCCATTGGCAACTTCAACAGTATCATGCTCAGAAAATTCAGACAATTGAGAGAATAATTCTTTACAACCTGAGATATGGTCTGTTGTTCGAGAATCCACAACTCAAATATTTTTGGTTTTTACTGTACCACTTAGAGCCTTAGTAAGAGCTATACCTGCTTGTGCTAAAGTGACTAAAGGGGTATTTTTCTCACTTGGTTTAGCCGAGACAGGTGCATGTTTTTCTAAGATTTTTCTCAAAACTTGAAGTTCTTCAGTGCTCAATGACCCCCCCTCAAATTCTCCTGAGCTAGCTAACAGCCCTTTCTTTTTCTACTTCTGATTGGTAGGCTTGCCGTGGAGTTTCCAATAGATCTCCTTAGTGTGACCACCTTTGTTACAATGGTCACACCATCTTTCTAGTTTTTTTCCTTTTGCATCTCCCTGATTCCCTTTGACAGTCATTGCTGACATCTCATTAAGAGACTTCAAACCAATTTGAGTTAGCATCTTTTGACTTTCTTCACAACAGACTAGATTGAATGCCTCCTCCAAGGATGGGAAGGGCTT